ATAATCATCACAATTATGACAAATCACGGCTTGAATTATCTTGCTTTGCATGTAATGAGTCTATCTCATATATTAGTTTCACCTTTTAAGTTGCATTAGTGAAATAAATGTTTGTGGCCTTTAAAGACTCTTACAAGCTTCTAGTTCTCTATGTTTCTTTTATTTTTCCTTTATTTATAATATTTATTCTGTTTTAATATGCGTTCCCCCCCAAGTGTCCTACAGAAACCACTAATCCTCACCATGTTTGGGCACGTCCAGTAGAGATAAAATCCCATGCTATCCACGCGAAGAGTAACCAAAGACTTGCCGCCATTTTCCTGGAAGACATAAAGAAATGCTTATTAGGAGTCATTGTATCCTGCAGGTCTTCATCTATCGTAAAAATTAAGCGTCAAATGTTAAAATAAATCATGACTTATCACAGCCAACTATATACAAGTATTCAGTGATTTATCTAAGACACTATAGGAAGTTCAAATCAAATAAGAAGCTAAAACAGGTAATTGGTGCAGCTTTGCGCCACAAGAGAATTAGCCTAAAAAAAACCCTGTCACTTAAAGAGCAGCTTTGTGCTGAGTGGGAGGTTGCCGCATTGTTGAGTAAAAATGTTGGGTGCTCTGGATTCTGCAAAGTTTTAAAGTACATTTCTGACCCTTTCCTGCAGCTGCTCCATTATAGCATAACATTGCCACTCAGTCCTCTCTACGGTCATGTCCCTCTTGAGGGGTTCTACCCACTGACAGCTTTCTTCTCCCTCTACCTCCTTCTTTGGGAGTTTTTGATGGTGGCACCGACCCACAAACATTTATGTATATTCAACAGCTCAGCAGTTAGTGACAGTTCCCTGCTAATAACGGTACTTGAGTGGTTTGTAGCATATTTATTTAATATATTGATTGGAACAGGTTTGCTGCGAGGAGGGCACAGCCTAAGGTGAAATGTGAAATTGTCAGATATGATTTACATTGAAAGTATTTAATTCATATTACAGAACACTTTACTTTAGAAAGTAAAACCAAAACATATAGTGAATGTAAAGTCTAATACTTTGATTAAACCTGTTGGCAAATAAGGGATTACGAATTGTTTATATTATTTAATTATGGCCAAAATATGTTGTGCCATTTATCCGAAGGCTGAATTTCATAACAAATAAAATATTAACGAGATACACACAAATTTATTAATGTTACATATAAAGCACAAATGTTATTCTTAGGTTGATGGCATACAGGTGATTTTGTAACAGAGATTAATTGCTACTACAAATCGCTACTACCAGCAATTAACACCAATTTGTAGCTAGCAATTTAATTACTTGAGTCGCTACTTGCTAGTGATTTTTTCTTAAGAAGCAATTTGTTGCTGCTACAAGCTAAACTAGTGCAAAAGCATTGGGTTGGTGGGCTCTGCTACAAATCACTCTCATTCAGCAATCTTTTAGCTAAGTTAAGTGATTTGTAGCTCATAGACGAGAATGAAGAGTGACTGCTATTAGCGATCTTGTTGTTGACAAACAATGCTAGAACCCAAGCATGCTGAGTGATTGAACTACAAAAATGAAAAATGAGCCAGTTAGCAATTCAGTAGAAAATGACTATGAAGTTCTATTGTACTAACACAGAATGACTACTAAGAATGCCACTTTCTGACAGAGATTTAGTAAAGGAATCTCCTCGAAAGGTAGATTATGCAACCCTGCCAATACTAGATTAAGGTCGCTTGGCCCTTGTTGGGCATTGTGAAAAGGTTTGAGAAGAAACCTCTGAACCTTTCAGCAGTCAGAACTGTAATCACCACCACCTGCTCCAGACATAAATCCAGTAACCGCTAGGGAAAAAGGCGTGGATTGTAGGAAAAAAAAAACTTGTGCGGGGGGTCGGGGGGGAAGAAACTTGAAAAACTCAAACCCAAGGCTACCAATTTGGGAACCCATTTGTCCAAAACACAGGTTATATAATAGACCACAAACATTACAAAGCTTATCCCCTGCAGATATAGAGGGCTTGTCTGAATTTCCTCACGAACAGAAAAAAAAGAAAATGTAGGCCCAGATTTGCAACAAGAATCCTTGGCATTCCTGAGCTGATGCAAGATGGCACTCTTTCTTCTTCTGTGGCTCTTGGCGATTTCATCCAGTGTCAAACCGAAAAGCTGATCCCCTGTGAATAGCAGAGCCTTCTAAAGTGTTTGGTCAGCTGAACAATGCTTCAGCCATAGCAACCTGTGTTTGACCACAGTCGAAGCAGACAGGCTAGAGATCAAGGATCTTGAGTCCAGTGCCACATTGCAAACCTACTTCAAGGCCTGTACCAGCTGCTCTGCCAAACTCACATAAAAATGTGAATTTTGCTCCTCCGTCAGACACTTGTATAAAAGAGTTGTGCCCATTCTGTTAAGGTTTGAGAAAGTAGCACAGATGCGAAAATCAGACACAGTAAGCAACCCATGACCATGTACAATGATTTAGTGAAATTTTTCGCCATTTCTGTCTGTAGAATCTTTAAAAGAAGGGGATGCATATTGGATGACAGGGCATGAAAATCTCTGAACTTAAGTGTATCCTTAACTGACTTAAAGGAGAATTATGCGGTGAGTGAAATACCCTCATCCCTATAATTCAAGCCGACCTGTGACACTGAAGCTATCGCAGGTCGGCTCTATTGATTGGGAACTCAGCGAACACATACCGCCGATCGATGAGTTCCCAATCCTCTCCCAGCAGAGAGCGGTGACTGTCACTGACTGCTCCCTGCAGGGATTCCCCCACCCTCCATTGTTCCAGCGCTGACTGAAGCAACGGGGAGGGGGCGGACAAAGCTGGCTCTGAACTGTTAGCATATAGCGGGCAATAGAACCGCTATATACTGAGTTTTGGGTCCGTGGGCTCCTCCTCAGTTACCATAAGGGTAGTAACAGCAGACAAAATTCCCCCAAGGGACATGGGGAGTAAGCATAGCCTTCCACAGCACACACAAGAGGGAGGAGGAGCAGGGTGGCAACTGTCACAGTCAGGGTGCTGCTACCATGGGAGGGGCACTGTGACAGGACAGTCCAAGACTAATCAGTCATATGAGTGCCTAGGAGTAAATCTCCACAGGCTGCCCTGGCCAGAGCAGTTGAAGTCCAATCCACATGGGGCAAGGAACTGAATGCACTTGATGGCTGAATCTGGGGAGACTACAATCTATATTATTGGGCCTTTCACCTAGCCGGCCACTGGCTTGAAGTAAAACCCAAGGAACTAGGATTTATATGGGGACATTTCTATTTCCTAACTCCTAACAGAGCTTGTTCCACAGTGTTTATGGTTTTGGCCACCAACAGGGGGTGTTTTTTAGTTTAGTTTGTTTTTTAGTTGCACATAACATTCTACTTCTTCAGGTGGCACAATACCCAATAAGTGATTATCTAAAGCATAGCTGTGTCCTCCAATAAACAAGGGGGGTGGGGAAGGTTGAGCTGTAGGGGCAATGCCTATACATACGCTAAGATGGATACCAAAGTCAGTTTAAACTTGCTTTAAGACCTGGACTGTCACTCCCAAGTACCTTCATAAAGTCTGCTGCCTGTTGCCCTTGGTCTCTATGAGATGCATCTCTATGAGAATGTTACATGTCTCAGGACTCTCTCAGCCAAATTAACCATTGGTAAGAGAGCACTATAATCCATTTCACTCTCATGTTTTACTTCCATCTCTCTAATGCTTTGTTTTTCATGTATGTCTCCCAAGACTAGTTTTTTGTCTTCTGTGTCTCCTGCTCTACAAGCCTTAACCTGCATTTATAACAAAATATTTCCTGCCAGACTTGCATTGCCAGTTTATCTTACAATTAATTGCAAGAAGCAGGTCAAATTGTTTCTTGCAAGCTAAAGAGCTTAACTGTTTCCTATGGGGAAGAAAGTTTACTGCCCTGGTCAGTACAGAGGAAGCAGTGTGTATTCACAGAGATTACCTGGGACAGCCATAGATTTAGAACAGCAAGCTGTAAGCAAAATAAACCTAACATAGGAGGAAGGGGGGCTCATACCATGTTGTGACTGTTGTTAAACCTCAAGCACCAAAGTGTTAACCACACTGCAAAGAAGGAAGTATGTCTCCAGCAAGTTAAGCTATAGGGAGAATGACAGCTAAAAGACAGACAAACATTCCCAAAGCAGAGACAATTTTGACGATCTTACAGTAATGAGTTAACTTGTCCAACAGAATCCAATGGATTCAGGATAAAGGCAACTATGGAATCCCAAATGACAGAGACACTTTCCAGAGGTTTTCACAGATTTCCACCATCTCTAAGATCTGCTAGATGAATGCCAATGTATCAAAGACAGTAACATTTTACAGCGCCAGATGTGTTTCAGTAAGTGGAAAATAAAAAACACAAATGTAATACAAACTAGATCAATTAAAAGGGTTGCCTATCTTCCCTACCCAAACAAATAAAAAGGGGGGTGTTGGCTAATGTTCAGAGACATCATCCAGCAGTGCAATCCAGCATACAACACGTTTCACATGAGCAGACTGCAGCCTGTAATTTGTTGCTCCAGTTTATGTCTCTGGCTCCAATATAATTTGTTTACTTCCACAGTCGCTTGCTATATGGATAACTTAATACTCATTTTATGCTTTTCCTGGTAAAAGTCCTTTAGACATGGAGAAATATATACGTTAGGGTTTCCGGGCCTGTTTTCTCGTGATGTGGAAAGAAAAATCACACAGTGATTGTTGGCAAATGTCCAATAGAACAAAATGGAGATGATTCTAATTACAGGTGTCAAGTGTCAAAATAATTCAAATAATAGGGGTGTTGTGGTGTCTAACCAGCCATAGAACATGACTACATCGACTTTTTTTTGAAGATGGCCATACAATTGACAATCCCATTTTAGATTTGCCAAAACTATGCAATGAGGACAAACCTAAACAATCCATTCAATTTGTATCAATGAGGCTGACCCTTGCACTACATAGTTGATGGTAGATCTAAAGCAGATTGTATAATGTATGGTCAGCTTTAAAATAATATTTATTTTTAACTGAAAAGAAATTAATTAGTCTAAAAATTGTAATGTCACCTTATGATAACATGGCTGAATCAAATGTATTAGCATTGCTTACAAAAAAAAAAGAAATCTAAATAGATCGATAATAGATCAATCAGAAAGTACATAAATTATACATTGGACAATGCATAAAATGCATCATCTCCATATTTCAAGAAAACCTGGGGCACTCCGTAGAAGACCTGGGTGACTGTGTCTAGCCCCTGACTAGATTCACACAGTATAACACTTTTGATAGGTAAATCATCTATTTTATAGAGATCTAAACATTAGGTTGAAAAGGCAGATAAAAGGGACAGAGGGATTTGGTTCCAAAAGAGAGATATTCCCTCCAAATAAGGGACAGTTGGGAGCTATGTCAGTTGCTGACAGAAATCCTAACAGTTCCCTACTGCAGTTGGGTTTTCAATCATAGTTCAGCCTGAACCTCCAAAACTGAAAAAAAAAATGCCAATCAGGAAGTCATTAAGAAAAAGCTTACATAAAGTTTCAGTGAAAGAGTTAGAGCAGATTGGGTAGTAGATAAGTCTTCCTTATTTATTCAGCGTTGTTATTTCCTCATAGACTTCTGTACATAGTAGCTGAAATTATTTGATATAAACAGAGCCAACAAATATTCTGACAAATGACTTCTCCAAAACAAAAACAACAAAAAAAAGGAATAGGAGCCGTGGCAACAGAAATTTCCTTAAACCGACATAAGGGAAATTGCCATAAAATACTTGTAAATATAGAGGGCATGTCAAGGAGGAGGAGATATCAACAAGGTTCATCTAGGGCTACAAGTTGCACTCTGAGCCAGCTAGGAAATAAATCAATCAAATCCGCCAGAGAAAGCCAAAGAGGTAAAACAGCTTAATTCCTATGCTACTGCTTCTTGTACATACTATAAGTAAGTCTTGTTGCTTAGATACTTTAAACTAAAAGCTATACAAAATATACAGCAACAAGACCAATTAAAACGTTCTGCTACAGAAAAGATAACTAATGAGATGTGAAGCTTGGCTACTGTGAAGTTTACTGTTGTAACTTTTACACACATTATTTTATGTGTAAACATTTTAAATAAAAATAATCCAAAGACAAAGTTAGAGTAATTCAAAGCCAAAATCTTTCTTTTTTTGGAATAGGATAGAATAGAGTTTTAGAATGCGTCACTGTTACAGGGGTCCCCATTAGAAGACTCCCATTCTGTATAGTGCTAACCTTTCCATTTTCCTCTTAATGTAAGTGATATATTAGTTTGCTTTTGTATTTAACTACCTATTACATTTAATTTTAATTTTATGATTCAGTGATTTAGTGCCAATCGTTATTTTCTGCTTTACAAGCCCAATATTCTGTGCACCCCACGTAATGTGACATAATACGAAATAAGCACTACAGACATAGACTGGGCTACGACTAGTGGGAAAAACATGGAGGTCAGAAGGGATTAAATTAACGTTATGTTAGGTCATTGTCTTAATGTTGGTATTTATGAGATCATGTATGTGTTTTAATGTTAAATGTTTGTTAGTTATGTAAAATGTCTGAAATGTGGATTATTGTGTGAAAATTAATAAATATATTTATAACGAAGAAGACTCCCATTCTATTCCTGTTTTAGTTACAACTGTAAAAAATGTTATACACTCACTGGCCACTTTATGCTAGTACCGGGTTGGACCGCCTTTTGTCTTCAAAACTGCCCTAATTCTTCGTGGCATAGATCCAACAAGGTGCTGGAAACATTCCTTAGAGAGTTTGGTCCATATTAACTTGATAGCATCACACAGTTGTTGCACATTTGTCGGTGGCACGTCCATGATGCGAATCTCCCGTTCCACCACATCCCAAAAGGTGCTACATTGGATTGAGATCTGGTTATTGTGGAGGCCATTTTAGTACAGTAAACTCATTACCATCTCTAAGAAACCAGTTTGAGGTGATGTGAGCTTTGTGACATGGTGCATTATCCTGCTGGAAGTAGCCATCAGAAGATGGGTACACTGTAGTCATAAAGTAATGGACATGGTCCACAACAAGACTCAGGTAGGCTGTGAAATGTAAGCACTGCTCAATTGGTATTAAGGGGCCCAAAGTGTGCCAAGAAAATATCCTCCAAACCATTACACCACCTCCACTAGCCTCACCCGTTGATAAAAGGCAGGATGGATCCATGCTTTCATGTTATTTATGCCAAATTCTGACCCGACCATCTGAATGTCGCAGCAGAAATCGAGACTTATTGGACCAGGTAAATTTTTTCCTATTTTATATTGTCTAATTTTGGTGAGCCCTTGTGAATTGGAGCCTCATTTTCCTGTTCTTAGCTGGGAGGAGTGGCACCCGGTGTGGTCTTCTGCTGCTATAGTCCAGCTGCTCCACAGTTCAACGTTTTGTGCGTTCAGAAATGCTCTTCTGCATATCTTGGTTGTAATGAGTGGTTATTTAAGTTACTGTTGCCTTTCTATCAGCTTGAACCAGTCTGCCCATTCTCCTCTGGCATCAACATTGTATTTTCGCCCAGAAAACTGTCAATTGGTGGATATTTTCTCTTTTTGACACCATTCTCCTACCAGTATTGTGTGTGTATGTATGTATGTATATATATACACACACCACACACACATATATACACAGGCGCAGTTTGGGGACCTCAACAGCCTTCCGGTGAATTGCGGCACCTGGTTACATTGCCGGCAGCATATCTCCTCCTTCCTGATACCCTACCGCCAGGGTCAGACAATTTTTTTTATTTTAATTATTATTTCTTATTATTTTTTACTTATTTTTAAAAATGTTGTTATCTTTAAATCAATTTTTTTCCATTTAACTTTAAAGTTATCACACAGGAGCTAATAAACCTGTGTGATAGCATTTGGAGATGACAGGTTCTCTTTATTGTACCTGTCACCTCCAATACAGGAGAAGCACAGCACTGTGCTGACTCTCCTGTGACAGCTGAGATGGGAAGACTGCGAGTGCAGCTCTCCCGTCCCACTGTTCACACGGAGCAGAGCGGACATGGTCCACAACAATACTCAGGTAAGCTGTGAAATGAAAGCGATGCTTAATTGGTATTAAGGGGCCCAAAGTGTGCCAAGAAAATATCCTCCACACCATTACACCACCTCCACTAGCCTGAACCGTTGATAATTTGTGTTAAAACAGTTGAACCTAATAAAGTGGCCATTGTTTATTCATCACTTCCTGTCCTGTTGACAATGGTCACCAGGACGAATTTAAAGGATAAATCACAGACAGCAATAAAAACCTGATTTTGGTTTCCACACTTCCTCTCTCTCTATTAAAATAAGAAAATAAAAAAGTTGTGAGCTTAGATATACTACAAAAAACTTCAACCACTTAATCTGCAAGATTTGCTTAGAACAGAACAAATAAAGATTTTCTGCATAAAGAAACCTTTGTCAAATCACTGCTAACTATCCATTTGTGATGTACCAGGGCTTGCTGCAAACTCCGTTCCCCTGAGTTCACCCAAGCCCGCTCAAACTGTGACTGCCCTCCCTCCTGACCCAATCAAAGCAGTAAATTAGTTTTCAAAGAAGCCCTCACACACCTCTCTAGCTGTGGCGTAATTAATACTCAACGACCACAACAAAGACTTAAGCTGGCCTTACAAATCAAATTGCAGCTGTTTCTTGCTCAATTGAATGGCATGCCAGCACCATAAGGCTCGAGAAAAGCTGACTTTACAGTCTGAGACTGTTGAAGGCACCTGGTGGAAAACTATTGGCCGAAAAGTGACTGCATCCAATCAGCTGCAGTCACTGTTCAGGTATTCTGCCAGCCATTGGCGATATAGCCGACAGGAGAGATTTCCCCCATCCAAGCTGTTTATTTCTTACTGCAGAATACGTTACTGTTTACTGCGGGATATGTTAATACTTTAGTATTCATAGTCTTGTCACAGGTTCACTTTAAGCTTTGTGTAACATGATTGCCACAGACTGACAATTGTCAGATGTTGGCGGAAAAATCTAAATCAATCACTACCACAATAATATGATTATCCTCTGCGATCTGAAGGTGTCCAAAAACATTACAATCATCAAACCATTTCAGTTAAATCAGGATGAGGGACAATAACCTTTATAACATTGTATTTAAGATGAAGAAAAAGAATTGTGTAATTAGTATCCCCTGTGTGTGGGTAGAAAAGGTTGAGGATTCTGCATGTTAGTGTAATGTGTGCTGGCTTAATCCAATTAGTTTGAGTACTGATCATCAGCAGATAATCCCGTAATTTAATTAACATCCTGCCATTCACAGCAGTTCAGTGCAAAGAACACACTGACAACCATCTCCTGCCGGAGCCAGGCACAGACCTGGACAATACCACGTAACTCTTCCACCACCGCAGCCATAAGCAGTAATGCAAACGATAGAACTTCTTTAGATTCTCATACACCAGCAGATCAACATGGCTTACATGATTGTCTGGAGCCCAGATTTTCAGTATTGTCCAAACATGATTAAGATCATAATTAGAAGCCATGTAGGTTTGAAGTGGAATTCTAGTCTATATTCAACCTTCTCATATATTAGCTATATTTCCAGCCATCATACAACCAGACCTTCCAATTCTCACCTATGGCATAGATAGGATATGGACCATCTATAAACATATTTTCCTTACATTTTAAATCCCTCCCCACCTCAATTTAAAAAAAAATCCAAAAGCTGTACTCACCCTCTACATGCACCAGCGCTGCAATCCACGTCTTCCACCGGTCCAGGTTGAATGACTCCAAGTGTCATTCACCCCACTTCCTGTGAGTCTATGGTGGCCAGGATATGTGCCCTGGGGGCATGCAATTAAGCTGCCCTGGACTTACAGGAGACATATGCAGAGAACAGAGCCACACTGTTACTTTGATGAATCTCACACAAAGAGAGCATAATAAAATTGTAAAATGTGTCCAACAAACTAATGAATGAGAGCTTAAAGTGAGAGCTCAGGAGTTAAACCTTTCTTCCTTCACCTTCCTGCATGTGTCAAGCTGATGTTTTGGTTAAAAATACATTTAAGTACCTCAATTATTAACAAGAATGTAGCCTATTTGGGCACCACTCGGTTGTAGATCCTCAAATCATCTCTGAATTCATGCTGATGCTGTCCTTTCTTCTGGAGGGGGGCTACTTTTGTTCCCTATGATCCCTGTGTGGGTTGTAAGGTAGACACCGCTCCAAGCTCACTCCCGTGATGAACTACAATCTCAATACAATTCAGTAATCTAAATGTGAGATTGTAGTCCATCACGGGAGTGAGTGAGTGTGGAGTGGTGGCTACTTTATAACACACACAGGGACCATGTGGAACAAAATCTTTAACTTCCTTGTTCAAGTTTACAAAGACAAAAAAAGGTATTCAACATATTTGTAAAGCATTTATAATTAACCATTACCAATCAAGAAATGTATGGTCTGTGTTGTCAAAGTGAAAGCCATTCAATGCAATATACTGCTGTAAGAGGATTTTAATCTAGCAATATATAGTCATATAACCAAGGGTTTCCCAACATACTGCTCAATAGACGAATGACATTTCTATAGGTCAGTTAGTTGCACTTCTGTACTACGGTACTACCTTCCATACATGTGTCAAAAAAAATCTCTCATTGGTTTTAATGATGAAGACTCATAATTTGCAATATTTACTGTAAAATCACATATGTTCAGTTGTTATGACACACAGCAAAAGATAATTATATTATATCAATGAAAACATAAGTGTTCCTGATCAAAGAATTACAAATATACGAAGTGGTATCCAAAAGCAAACAGTCCTTAAAATAATATTTGTCTTGAAAGGAATACAGCCAGGGAGGCCACCCTGATTAATGACTGCAGTTGTCATATATTAAGTATCCTCCTACAATGTACTTCTGTTACAGATAGAATTGCTGGCTGCTTGAGGCCTAATTAATGTGTCTTCATATATGAGCAACTGCTCCTTTACATTAAATACATTACAGAATTGCAAAGAAATCATAAAAGAAATCATAAAATGGATTTCTGAAATTGCATCTCCTGTGGCTGTCATACTTTACCCTCAGTCTCTATTTGTCTAGTGAGTTGCTAAAATGAAAAAAGGATATGTTAGGCGGGTGTCAAGACACGAGGCACTTACATGCTTGTTTTGGGTCAGAAACTCACTATGTGAAGTTAAGATCAGACTGACAACCCAGAGTTTCAACTTCTACAACACTGGTAGCTCTCATGTTTCTGTTATGATGAGCTACTTCTGAAGCATAGAGGAGGAAGTAGAGCTGCAGCTAACGATTATTTTCAAAATCGGTTAGCCAATTATTAAGTTTGATTAATCGGTTAATTGGAGAGGAAGCCAGACTCAATATGTGCAAAGGTGCCCATACACTGTACGAATTTCAGCCGTTTTTTTGAGAAGCCGGAAATTCGCACAGTGTGTGCCACTTTCGGCACCCTTCGATCAACTGATCGAAGGAGCTGGCCGAAAAATGTTCGTACTATAGGAGCCGGCTGCCAACGAGCTGCTCGCACTCGTGGGGTATTTTGACAGCTGCCCACAGCCACGGAGAGAGAGAGAGAGAGAGAGAGCAAGAGAGAGAGAGAGAGAGAGAGAGAGAGAGAGAG